TAAATATAGACATAATACAATTTTTACAGTTCCTTAAGCTTATAAGGTGCTTAACATCATGTCTAGATTATGTACACTATCGCTTTATTGTAATATATCTGGTGGTACATTTGCCACTTGTTGTACCAAGTAATTTTCAATAACTGCTTTGGCTGGAAAATGATAATAACATATCTTCTTATAATTGATACTATATGCCAGAAGCATTCGTTATATAATCTTTGCTCTCTTACCAGTTAAAGAATTATTTAATACCGCTGCATGATAAGCACTCGTATTATACATGTTACGACGCGTAATATCGGCACCTCTGGTTAATAATTCGTAACATACATGAGGATGATCACCATATGCTCCATACATCAAAGGTGTATTCCCTTCCTTTAAAAACCAGCATATTAAAGCTTCTATGTAACAAGAAGCTTATTACTACAAACTTACTTCATCACTTGCATTACAATCTGCCCCATGATTTAATAGTAACTTTACAAGATCGTGATGTCCATAAGCAGCTGCCAGATGTAGAGGAGTTTCTCCGTTAAGTCCACGATAGTTTTTATTCGCACCAGCTCTGAGTAATTGTTTTGCACTACCTAATTGGCCATACCCAGCAGCCCACATCAAACCGGTTAATCCCTTTTCATCAGGCGCATCTACGCTACCTTTACAACAATTAATTATTTAATAAATATACATGTAGTATTGTTCCTTTAATCAGAGATATGCAATATCATACTTGGATGTATATGGTCAGGTGTGAGTTCACCTTGCCCAGCTAATGTATGGAATGTAATATCACTGCCACCGTAAAGTTGAGGTATTTCCGTTTGTGTATTACCTCTTTGCAAATTAGTGAGCAAAGTAGGAGGCTGGAAAAAGTGTTCGGCTGAAATGCTTGTAGCATGTCTTTTGTTTAAATTAGTACCTTGTAGGGTTGGAAAGCACTAGTTCTTGTAGCATCTTGCCAGGCACCTGGAGCCCAATGCCATTTGGTTTCTATGGGTTCAGATTTGCATTCAATATTAACATTTTCTAGTTTACAGATCAGTGGCCTTGGCCTGATTCCAATCGTCGATTCTTCGACCGTTTTTGTTTCATTACTAGCAGCATCAGGTTTTTGTTCTTTGTCGTCCTCCTCCTCCTCGTCTTTTACGATTAGTTCAGAATGGATTTGATTATCCATATTTTTAACAACTTTTGTATGTAGATTACGATCTTATAACCTGTCTCGTTTGTTGTTATCACTAAAGTTTCGTAATTCCTTCGATATTATGATATAAATGTTTTTAAACATTTGCAAAAGAATTTGGCTTTAATTAAATGAAATATAATATCATTTTTAATGAATTAATCTCGTCGTAAAATAGGCATAACAACTTGTGTGATTCTAACGATACAAGATTTGAGAGATAGAAACTAAGTACATGCAGTATAAGTACACGAAAGATA